AATTTTGGTGAATATTTTTGTAATTTTTGGTAAAAAGTGATATTTTCGACTTCTTGTTGAAAACCGCAAGTCCAATTGCTTTGATATTACATATATAGGTACTACATGTGGACCTCTCTCAGATTTGTTCATTTCATAATGATATCTTAAATTCTCTAATTTTGATGAATATTTTTGTAATTTTTGGTAAAAAGTGATATTTTCGACTTCTTGTTGAAAACCGCAAATCCAATTGCTTTGATATATTATACATATAGGTACTACATGTGGACCTCTCTCAGATTTGTTCATTTTCTAATGATATCTTCTGTTCTTTAATTGCCATGTGCATTGCTAACAGCGGAGCTATCTCAGCCGACAGGCTGCTTGTTTTATAATTATTTTCTGGTTTCGATGACGTTTTTCTGGTCAGTACAGCCCTTCCCAGATTCATGCATGTGTAAGAATCTATCAAGATAGTATTTTATAACTCCTAACAACCTACTGAAGTAGGTTAAAAAGTTACAGAAGAAAATTACAGATAAAAATTAATCAAATTACAATGGCTAATAGTTTAAAAGACAACCAAAAACAGACTAAATTAAAGTTAGTAACGTATCAAGTAGCAACACTCCAAAATTAAACATGTCCTATCATTAATATAGTTATTGCATATTTACGTGATAATAATAATAACCTGAATATTTTATTTTCTGTATTGCCGATCATTTTCTGAGGAGACCTGAATGTCAGTTCAGTAGGTCACATTCTGCAAATATTGTAATGCGTAATGTTTTGCCACAACTTTTCCTGATTTGAGGGAAAATTAAATTAAAGCAGTTTACTGTACATATTTATTTTTGGGGGCACACAGATTCAGTATTCTGCTCTTAAATCATGTGTGCTGGTAGTATGTTATTTAATAATATTAACCTTACTAGTATATAGATTTAATGTTGGCTAAGTTGGTTTTGTTATTTGGTTTTTGTATAAGTAAAATTCCTACCGAACCAGAAAGTAAATTTTTCAATTAAAATTTTTAAGTAAAATTGATATGTTGTACATGTAGGTCACAGGCCTATTTCTTAGATGTTATTCCATAGACCCTCCAGTCACAACCGTGCTCCAGTTGAGGGTCTATGGTTATTCACAGAAAACAATCTTGACATACTTGTAGAAATAAAATGTAGAAATATCTGGGTCCACCAAAAATGAACATACTTGCCATTTATTATTACTGTGACCCATCTAACAGGGCTTGAACCTCAGGTTTTCTCAGGACACTCACGGTAATTGCCTTCATGACCATCATGAATTGTAATTTCTGCATTAAATTGTAGCTATTTTGTGCTCTGCAAGGTGTACGATACCTGATGTATCATATTTGCTCTATTATTAGTTAAACATAATTTAGTTAATTACATAGACAGTACCTATACATTGTATAACATTCTGCGGGGCATTGTTTCTTGCAGCATTTGTTTTTTGTTGTTGCATAGTTACGGTTTGGTGTATTTTTTAAGAAATAGGCCTGTGACCTACATTGCACTATAAAATTAAAATTGAAAAAAACTCAGATCTAAAGCCCTACATCACACTTCTAGCAAAATGTAAGGTTTGGGCCGGATTTATTTTAATCCTTTGTTGAAAAATGCAGTAGTAAACAGATTAACTCGGTGCTGTCTATTTTAGCAGGTTGGTCTCGGCCTTGAGTTCTATGTTTAGTCCTGAGATGAGGCACATGTAAACAAATTGTCAGGGTTAAAACAACGCCCTGTTGTGGCAACTCAATAGCAGGTAAATAGGTGTCAATGCCGAGTTAAATATACTAGTAAACCACTCCAAAGTATGCACAGAACATAGGTTTAGCCAACTGATAAAAAAATATGTATAATGTGTTTTAGTTCTAATGTTGCTAGCATGTGTGGACAAGGCTTCCTTTACATTTTTTATTGAAACACTTATAATTCCCTTAGGGAAATTAAAATGGTTACATCTAGCATAAAGCTTAAGACAAGACAAAGTACAATATTAAAAAAAAAAACTACTGCTATAATACGGGAAAATACATTATTACAACATTACATAAATGCAAGCTTAAAACTTGAACATTGAAATCCTGTCAATAGGAAAGAAAACAAACATGTAAAGAGAAGTATGCAATGGTTTGCTATTGCATACCTATAGGAACAATAGAGGGACAAGTACAAGTTGTGTTCTGGGCACCACTTGCATCGTACCTTCCAATCACCAAAAAAAAAAAAATAATGCTCGGTAATCTTTTGTTTTTGTACTTGTTGGTATGCGCAACAGTCAAAATCTCCATCTTTGTTTATATTAGACCTATATCTGGCGCACGCGTGGCGCGACGACCACCGCCAACCCCCTATAAAAGTAGTCTGAAAAAAGTGATGTCGTTTTATTGTGTATGAAAAGTAACAAAATTTGACTGGCTTGGAAAAAAAACTACCATATAATTATAGACATATTATAACTTACAAATGAAATATATTTGATTTCATATTCTGTTTCAATAGATATGGTGATTTTATACTCAAAGAGAGGCTGCGGTGTCTAGTTTTAAAACAAGCATAGTGACCCCCATTTGTTCGAGCTATGACTACATTTCATGTTACGCACGTTAGAACTCTATGAGAATCTTTATGTTCACTGTAAAATACAAGGATCTAACATGCAATCTTGTAAATTCCCCGACTTCTGAATATGCAAGATTTGTTTCGTGGAATAATTTCAGAGATTTGTATGACTCGTTTTTCTCAATACCATCCTCATATTTTCCAGAAAAAATATACTTGACACGACTCTTCTCTCTTCAGATAATGATAGCTTACGTTAGAATACATAATTTACAAAACAAAAACAAATTTTCATAAATACGCCAAACATTGTATGAATGATTTTCACATTTGCACCTAAGCCCACTGAGGCTGTAGACAACACACAATGTATCTTCTCTTTTCACCACCAGTTCCCTCTTTTCATCACAAATTTAGAAAATAGTTCCATTTATAGTCTGCACTTTCCTTCAGAAGATTGGGACAAAAATAACCAATTTTTTTTTAGTAAAAACTGAAAATTGACCCAAATTGTGTCTGTTGTCTCCAAAATTAGGGTCCATTTCCAGAAATATTGAAGAATATATATAAGAAAAAAAGTGCAGGCAAATTTAGGAGAGAAAGTCTGGTGGTGAACGTGTTTTGTTTCACTATTCGGTTATAAGGAATTTACGATCACTATGGAGTCAGCATACGAGCTTTACAAATTGGTTTATGGCTCTATACAATGTTATTAACTATTATACAATTGTACCCATCCCGCATTTCGTGCCTCCCCCAAAAGGCATATTCATAATTCTAGAGAAAAAATTGTATTTGCTAATATTTTGAGCAAAACGAGCCAAATATCAGGCAAAACTCGGATTTTGAAAATAAATAAAGATAATACAAGAAAACTGGTGATGGTTGTAGAACCATAACTGCCTCAGCTCAAAGATTGTTATGTAATACAAGGGAATGTGAAGGGGAATGTATTGTAATGTTACCTCTGTGTAATTTACAATATATCTTCAATGTGAAGGACAATGTGGGAGTTGACTTAAATGACTGGTAGAAGCAAGGCTGGTCAAATTTTGTGAAATAGTAGTTAGAATTTCCAGATACGCAATCGACACATTGTGGGATATCAAAATATGGATGTTAAACAGCAAGTGATATTTCCAGAGATGGAGTTGGAATTGAAGCAAAAGAGTGGCCTATTAATCCATGAAACATACTCACACATATTCGTACATATCATCCTGTCTTATTGTGTGTGGGCAAAGCTGTCATGCACACAATCAGAAAAATATGTTATTATTGTAAATAATTATGACAATAAA